ATTGATTAATTCGGTAGAATACCTGCCACCTCCACTAACAACAATTTTGTCCACCAAAACTAAGACAGATGAAAAGAATCACATGAGATTTCACGATTCTCAACAACTTCATTGATCGATTGATTTAGATGTGTAACTGATAATATTACTATTATTCAAGATTTCTGATGTCTTATCCCTAACGAAAAACACATGCAACAACCTTCCAAAAAAATTTTTTGAGCAAATAATCAATGCTACGTCGGCTTTGAGTAGAACTTATCCACAATATGTTTTGACAGTTTATCTTACAGCCTGTATGTCCCTTATATACAGAGACATAAAGTGGTGCACTTTTTTTCTTTTCCCTGTAGGTATATCAGAGGGATGGACCAATTAGTTTTTTAAACATACTGTCAATGCCATGTCAGCTGAGAATTATCATCCACATATCAAAGGGCCTGATATACCCTCGTTATAGAAATGACTCACACATATCCTTACCATTACACGAATACCCAGATTTGCTTCCATGAATTGCAGCTCTATTAAACACAAATTCTCCATCACCTGTCAGCAAGGTATAGAACAGCCCAGAAAACCTCAGTTGTGAGTACTGATCTCACAAACCCAAAGATTACTGAAAAACATATATACAATGTTGCTTTGCCTGTGATTGTTTTGACGCTACAGGCACCAAACAAGGTAGGAAATATTCGAGTTTTTATTCAAAGCATGAATAGGATTATGCTTTGTTAAAAACATTTATAAATAAAAGTGAATTTCTAAACATGAGAAACAATCAACGTAACGTTTAAGTAAGGGGAAACACAATGCAACCCAACTATACAGGAGCATTACTGGTTTACTTAAACAATTGCCGCACTGGAGGCTGAAAGGGAATATATGAGTAAATTCCCAGATAATATATCTATATATGCAACATTTTACAAGAATTTTTCTATGGAGGTGGTAAGTGTTGATTTAGGAACTGCACCAATGATTGCATCTTTCTTCTCTCCATTCTTGAATATCATCACAGTTGGGATGCTTCGGATTCCAAATTCGGTTGCAATGGAAGGACTTTCATCTGTGTTCAGCTTCAAGCATGTAAGCTTGCCAACATATTCCTTTGCTAGTTCATCAATGACGGGGTGGATCATTCGGCATGGACCACACCACGGAGCCCAAAATTCGACCAGTACAGGTACAGTAGACTCAACTACAAGTGTCTTCCATGTTTTATCACTAACAGCAACCACTGCAATTTCCAAGAACTGTGTTAAACCAGCAAATGATGCTAACTATAATGATTAATGGGAATTCGACAAAAGCAATTCTCTCTATCATTAACTAGACAGGAAAAGTTTGTGTATCCAAGTTTTTAAAAAACTAATCATATTATGGCAGCTAAAGAGCAAAGTTGACAACATAGATTCCCATTTTCCCAACTAACCATGGCTAATATAAGTATATAACTGGTGCAACATCTACATCTCACACACAAGGTGCTTAAGCCAAGGTGAAACATGAAGATTCTGCAAGGCGAAGGAAGCACTGATATGCCTAACAATGTTTATTCCCTAAAATTGGCAGTAGCTTCACAAGTAACTCTATCAGTATTCAACATGTGTAGTTCAAGTTGATAGTACTTCTAAGTAGTAGCAAAGAATACCTCATCATGAGCAATCAATATGCTAGCAACCAATATTCAATGAATTCTTAGCAGGTAAGTGAAACTATGAAAGCAGCAAAGCTTTGAGGGAATTATACCATAGCAGCCCTATGACATCTTTTACCATTTATTGAGCTTATTGTCTTGACATACTAGTTCCCTTATATAAATTGTTAAAGAGCACAGACCAACATCGTTTTTTATAACCGAGAAATTCCCAAGAGTCAGTGGCGCATGGTTCGAAACTTGGTGGATATAAACCCACCTCACTACCCTTTTCCACTTAAATACCATGCTTTTATCTGCAGTAGGATTCAAACCATTACATGTGCCTAACATACTATTTCCAATAGAAAAGGAAACAAAGTAAAGAAGCCAACAAGAGGAGCTATGAAAGATTGAAGGAAAGAGCTTAGTGCAGGGAACATTACAAGGGTCTTGTGGAAGACGTCAGGTGGTTGTGAAAGGTGAAGGAACACATGAACGATGTTCCCAATTTTTTACACGAAGGATGTTTCAAATGCTTTGCATTCTCTTGTTTCTTTACTTTTCTTTGCAGAGTATCACAACATTATTCTTGTCTCTTAGACTCCTAAAGGATATCTAACACGAGTAAACGACATTTTACTTGTGGTTTTCCTGGACAAATTCCAGTTATACTAACCTGAGAACTAAACCAAAGTTATAAGCTATGTGCACAAAAAATCAAACGGAACCTATGATGCTCTTACTTGCCTTCGATGTATCAGGATTTAAACAAGAGTGTAGAGAAAACACAAAACTTGAGCATCAATGCTAGAGGATTTCCTTCCCTTCTTTTCTATGGAAAGTATCCGAACGTTCAATCTTCAACTTAGCTAGTCCTAAATGACAATAATCAGCTCAGTATCCAAGGAAAAGATAAAGCATACTATGTTCTCAAATCTGCCAATCATCCTCACTACTGACTCTCGCATACTACATAAATCTAATTCAACTAATAAGGAAACTAGGGAAACAAAGTAACCAACACCAAAATACCAAAACTCACAAGCAGAATACAAGGAAAGGCACATATTGTTCACGATTTCATTTCCCATAAAAAGTAAATATACCTTGAATACGAAATATAACTCAAGTTACTTCTATTACTATGAGAGCTTATAACTTGTTGAGAACAGATGAAACTAAAAATTAACTCTAGTAGAAACTTCCACTGGTAACGCAATTGAATTTCTTTTCACCAAGAGCTAAGGCTTAAAGGAGCACGGAGAATCTCAATATAAAGAGGAGTAACAAATACTTTCAGTTACAAAATACCTTCGACGGCGGTATTCTGAGCTTCGCAAATGACTCGTCCTCCTCGGGGAATGATTTTAGAGCATGAGCTAGTGGATACGGATGAGCGAATTGGCTGGATCTTAAGGCCGCTGAATTGAGAGAATCTAACAGAGGAACGAGGACCGGAGAAAGAATAACCTGCGACCGGAGAAAGCGACGATGACGGCAGCGCCGATGCGCGTGGGACTGTAATGGTTTCCAACACAGCAGCCATGGAAAGAGAGGTGAAAGATAGAGAGAGAGAGAGTGTGTGGACAGTGGGAGAGATGGGGAGGAGAGAGAGAGAGGGAGTGGATATTTACACAGAGATAGTGAGGTCTGTGGCTGAGGCGAAAAAAGTTTGGTTATTGAGTTTTTTTTTAGAAAATAAAGTTATCAGCCTAGCGTTGGACGTTCGTATTGAAAGCTTAACTAATTACGAAGTATGTATTATAAGTCCCATATTGAATGTTTGTATTGAAATTTTGATTAAACTAATTACTAATTATGTATTATAAGCTCCATATTAAATGTTCGTATTGAAATTTTAACTAAATATAAATTACGTATAATACTGATATTCCTAATAAAAAAATTTCATATCTAAAATTTTGAATTAAAAATGAAAAGAGTCTCACCATTCCATCCATCTCAATCCGTGGGTGGATGAATGGATGAGGAGTTTTGTGTCTCTATCATCCACGTGCTCTCAGTGATGCTGTGACACATTTTTATTGATTTGGGCCAGTAGATACTTGGGCTGAGTACAGTGCTCTTAACAGGCCCATTTTGAATCTATAGAGATATTCTTTTAGAAAAGAGTAAATTTTAGGTTTAGCAAATATAAAAATTATATTTGTATGTTATAGCTATAGTTTGTATAATTGTGTTTCATGCTATTAATCTGTATATTTTGATATACATATACATAAAAAATATGTACTTGGGTCTATTTGTATATTTCAGTATACAAATGGGTCCTGCATTTGTATATTTCGATAACAAATGGAATGGCAAAAAACATGAAATGTTTGCTGCGAATTACAAATAAAAGAAACTATAGTTATAGCATTTAATTTGAATTAATAATTTATTATTTCATACAATTTTCCCTTTAGAAAATAGCCTAATTTGCCATGTACTATTTGATAATTGGACAATTTTATCCTCTGATGATTTTCTTAGTATAATCTTATCCCTTAATAGAAAAAAAGTCTCTTTTTTTTACCATATACCGTATTTCAACTTGATGATTTTATGTTATAGTTCAAAATAATGGAGTAAATTTTAACTTCTGTTATATGGCAAGAGTATGAATGAACAAAAGTCCAGATGAATTTTATTTCTAATCAAATATCTCGTATTCAAGTCTTGAAAATAAAATTGAATTTTACCAGAAATACTTTACTCCAATGTAGGACTTGTGAACGCACTATTAGTCAGACTTCAAAATAAATACTACTCAAAGGGAAACAAAACGAGACAAAACATAGATAAAGAAAAGTAAGTGTTATTGGAGTTGGTAGAAGAGGAGACAAAAAGTGTGAAACCATTGGGAAGCACAACCTTTAGGAATCAATCTCCCATGCCATCCTCGTGTAGTCAGAGTACTATTAGCACAAAGACTTTGAACTTAGAACCTCCCAACCCAACATGCCCATTATTATTCTCCGCCTTTTCTCCCTAATATAAGTATCGCCATTTCCACGCCTACCACAACGGCACCAATTAATACTTTTCTGCGCGTATTAAATTTTGCATAATTAATATTTATATTGTTTTAAATTGTGTGTATTAAATTTTGCATAAGTAATATTTATATTGTTCTAACCTGCTATCAAACGACTTCGTATAAAAATATTTATATTAGTATATCAGGTAGTTGGTCAAATGGAAGTTCAAACGTACCAGCACTGGCCCTGTGGTTGGGTCAGTCTGTTTCTCTGAATGGTCAAAAGTTTCAACTCACGTTTTTATGAATAGAGACAAATTCAGCCCAAATCAATATTGGAAACAGTAGCTAGCAAGCAGCAATAACTCCTGAAAAATGCCCATGCATTCATCTTCTTCTTCTCTTTCCCGGCGCCAGAAGCCTAATAACAACAACGAAAATGCCATTAGCAAGTCTATGTCGGCAGAAGAAGAAGTGAAGCTTGCTGCTCTCGCTATCACCCTTAATGTACGGCTCAGATCAGCAGATATGCCTTTCGCCATGCAAGCACATGCCCTTCGTTACGCCGGAACTCTCCTCCTCCAACCTGCAAATCACCGCCCTAACCCCTCCCTCCTCGCTCGCTCCCTCAAAAAGGTGAGTTTGATTCTTCCTTCGTTTCAAATTTGAGTTGGAATCTGAAAATTTGACGCTGGTGAAACTTTTGTGGATTTTTAGGAGTTTGATTCGATGTATGGACCGGCATGGCACTGTGTGGTGGGGAAGAGTTTCGGATCTTTTGTGACTCATTCGCCTGGTGGATTTGTGTATTTTTCACTTGAATCGTTCTCGTTTCTTCTGTTCAAGACGGAGGTTCAGTTGATCACGGAAGCAGTAGTACCAACACCTGCTGCCCGCTGATTCATATATTTCTGGTTGCTGCAGCTGACGGAGATGGTTGTTCCCTGTTCGGTGGTTAGTTTCGCAATCTGCATTTGAAACAGATATAGCAGCTGCTAACTTGTTTTGGAGTTAATTTCACATATGATTGTACATGATAATATTGATATTTCTCTAAGAAAAAACATACATGTAGCATCCTATTTCTAACTTCTTTCATCTTCAAATACATAATTCAGCAATATCAATGGTGCACTAATTTAAAGGTTCCAGAAAGCTCAATGTCGCTCTAGACAACACCAAAATCATCCAATAGAATCTTACTCTGCTCTAAGACAAGTTTCTCTCCCGCATGAACTGCTCTATCTTGCCTACATACATCTTCCGGGGTGTCAACACCGTGAGTCTCATGGTCAACTTTTATCACCTGCATACAGGACGAGATTCATCCACTATATAAAAAACACTCTGATAGATAATCAGAACAAGAGGAGCAAACAAACTAGGAAAATTAGAAAAGTAAGCAATTTAACTTTATCATCTTAGTTTCTCTGTTTAACATACAATTTTTCTGTCTACATATGGTAAATACTTATTCGTACCCGGTATTAACACAAGAAATTGTACTTTAGGCTTTCACAGTTAAAAATTAAGGTGATAGTTCATATCATTTTAATCATGGTCAAGTGAGAAATGTGTACGAAAGACTAGTGTCTTGCATTCATTGATTTAGTGCTAACATCCGTGCTGGTAAGTTTCTATATTTTGTATCATTGAAGGAGAATTAACTTTTGTTTTTCGTTGGAACTGTTTTCTCCACAATATTCACACACAAGCACTTAAGATATAAAGGTAAGTTGACAACATCTCCAAATTTGTAATTTAGAGTACAAGTAAACGGAGAAGTCAAGCTAGCAGATATGGTACCTTCATCTTGTATCCATTCTCAAGGACCTTCAACTGTTCAAGGTCTTCTTCAAGTTGCAACGGTATGATAAGCCACCACCATATTATAACAATAGTATATGAAAATACAAACCTTTCATTCTATGATAGTTAAAGTACCTTTAAAAGTGATTGAAGAATGAAGTCTAATCCACTCCCAAATGAGATAGTTATTTCGATTGAGCATATATTCAGGAAGAAAGTGTAACTGCGCTATTATTTACCTGCAGGGCTTTGACAATGCCATCTATTATCTCAGGTTCAATAAGAGGTTCATCTCCTTGTATGTTAACGACAATGTCATATTTCTTCCCAAGCTTTTGAAGAGCTTCATTACAACGCTCGGTTCCTCCAATTTAACAACTGAGCATTAAGACTGAAATTGCCAGAAGTAGCGAAGTTAAGGAAAAACAAAGATGTTATGTTTACCATTTCTACATGATTCAGAGGTCATTATTACTTTAGCACCAAAACCTTGACAGCACTCAGCTATCTTTTCATCATCTGTTGCCACAACTATTAAACAACGCAAACATATCAGCACCTGTGATTACCATACAAACTATTGCTTCTCTTTTTTGTACTCTCTTTTCTTTCCTATTTTTCTTTGTCGGGGGTAGGGGTTACGAAAAGTAGTCAAAGTTAGTTGAAATGAAGACGTACCAACGTGATCCAATGTAGCAGCCAGTTTTACCCGTTCCCATGTTCTCTGCAATTATGAATTTGAATGGTGGTGAGGGTGTCAACTCCTTTCAAAAACGATCACTATGATAGTGCATCCTGATTAAAGTTACACCAGAAGTAAATAATTTCAAACAAAGAGATTCCACTAGGAAATTTGTATGCAGTTCCCTAAAAAATTCAGTAAATACAAATTTACATTATTCTGTTAAGTTGAATGCTAGTTGACATCTATTACCTAGTGGCAGGGGCAGATGCAACAATATGTTACCGGGTTCATCTGAATCTAGTACGTTTTACGCAGAGCTAAGTTCATATATAAAATCCACTAAATTTGCAGCAAATAGTAGATATAATCCATAACTTTAAAAATATATTGGATTCAATACTAAGAACATTGAATGTTGAACTCATAGAGCCTAAATCCATTATGCACCATTTTGACAATTCTCTTCTCGAATGAAAAAATCATGCAATTGTTATGCTAAAAGGACTGTAAAAAAGGATGGAGATTTTAGAAATACCTGAATCATGGGTTTTCCCAGGATATGAACAAGGGGTTTACCCTGGAAGCAAAACGGGCGGGTATAATTCCGATGACCCGGCTCCGAAAGCGGCGGCCATTGCAGCTCCTACAGCTAGACCATTTAGGATCCATGATTTTGAAGAGCTAGACGATGATGAACAAAAGATCGGCATTTGCTCATTTTGTTAACGAAAGAGAATGTAGTATTTAAATGGCTATAAAGGTCTAGTTAAATGTAAAATGATTTAAAGCTAATTATTAGCTGTTAAATATAAATAAGTATCATATAAATTAAAACCGATACAAATGATGACGGGATAGTAATAATATCATTTCTCTCCGAGATATCTTGGTTAAGGATGGATGAAGGAGTAAATTAAAATGTGCTCTCTGTATCTTTCTTGTTACATCTATACTATGATTTGTTTGTTTAATCTCAATTTGGCACAGAGTTGGGAGTAAAAATTATAAGAACGTATAAATGTGATGTTAAACTTATTGCATGGAAAATTAAAACTAAAAAGGAAAGCAAATAAAATAAATTGAAAATGAAACATTTGGAAAAGAGAGTGAACCAAACAATTTCATTGATCAGCAAAGCAAAAATAAACTGATACTATTAGCATGTAACAAACGAAAAAAGTGCAAATCGGACTTGGTCCAAATTTCATGCTGTATAAGCGCCGCCGCCACGGGAACCACCACTACGGCCGCCGCCACGGGAACCACCACGACGGCCATATTCATCGTCATCCTCATCAGAATCATCACAGCTTCCATACACATCATCAAATCCCTTCGGTTCATCATCATCAGAATCGTCAAAATCAACTTCATCATCAGAATCGTCTTCGACATCTTCTTCCAGATCAGGACGTTTTTTACTACTGGTCGATCGGCTTCCACGTAGCTCCATCAGAGACAAATCAAAAGCAGGCAAAGCGGAGCCGATACCAATCGGAAAGTTCCAATTCAGAAGAAATTCATCAGCATTTGAAACACTCAACTTTTTACCATCAGAAAAATGTCCAGTCAAAATCGATGGTTGAAATTGAGGGGAAATGTTAGATGCGTCTGCAGAGGCAATGGCGGCAGTAGCTGCGGGGCGGAGTAGATGGCTGTGAATGAGATTTCGGAGTGAAGTTTTGTTGGTTAAGCTTTGAAGCCTAGATACAGCAGCCATGGTTGCTAAAGTTGTTTAGCTTCACTGAAAACGAAAGAGTTTTATAAGGGTTTAAGAGCCCTAGGGTTTTGGAGGGTTCTACAGATTTATTTAAAAAGAAGGATTATTAAACTTATAAAATAATTTTAGGCTTCCGGGGAATTTAATTTCAATATATATTTACATATTTTTCATTTTTCTTGAGGTAAAAGGTTGTATTTTGTCGGATAAACACTCCCTCCGTTTTATATTAGTTTTCATATAATAAATTTAATATTTTAAAAAATGAATATTAGCTAATAATAAAGATAAATAAGGAACTGAGCATTTGTTTGGTACAAATATAAGATAAATTAGTCTCGCCTTTTGTCTCTTATCCTTCATAGCAAATGACCACCGAGTAATATGCATCTAATTTTAGTATAGTGAATAAATAAAAATAGACGGATAAAACAATTAGTTCTATATTGATTTTGTAAATTGATAAGTATTTTAAGATGAATATGTTTAGTAACATCGACAACTAATGTGAGCTGGAAGGAGTAGTAATAAAACTTTCTCATGGTAAATGAATTTAAGTGATCAATTTTGTTACCATCCATTTCTGGTTATTGCTGACAAAATATAACCAACAGACAAAATTAAACAAAGGACCAATTGAAGAAGGGAGAAATATGAGAAAGATAATAAGAGATACAAGTAATACAGTTATAAATCTCTATACTGACATTATTTGTCTCGATACTTTTCGATTGTTATAACGAAATACTATTGTAGAGAACAAATACAACATGAAAAGTGTAAAATCGAAAGCAATTGTTTCCAAAAAAACTATGCCCTGTTTATTCTGAATATGTAAAAACAATGTTTTGTATAAAATAATCTGTGAGAAATTAGCTAATTAATTTTCGTAATGACAACATATATCGGTCATTCTACATAAGTATATCAGCTTTCTACCCTTTTAGAGAATTAGTTCTGTAACCAGTTTCAGACGTTGAAGCCTTCAGCTCGAAGGCATTTAAGATGAGCTTCGATCCATTTCTCACAAGCTGATTCACCGTGTTCCACAATGCATTCATCTCTCACCTTCTTAGTCTCTGGACAAGCACAGCAAATCTTCTTCTTTGGCTTTGAATCAGCAGGGAGTGTAGCGGGAGCTGACTTTTCATCTTTTGGAAGTTGTGACGAAGATGTGGCTGTTGAAGTGTTCTCCTTTGATAGTCCATCCCCCAGTTGCGATGAAGCACCACCCATTCTCAAAGAAGGCTGCAAGAGTTGGGAAACAAAAGATCGATGATGGCTATCAGATAAGAGCATTACTCACAAATCAGCCAACAGAAGGGCAAAAGATATACATATACCAAATCGTGTTTAGTAGAACCAGCCTTCCGAAAGACAAAAACTACAACAAAGGTACCTATCTTCTTTTTTTAATACAAACAATGAAGAATATTTCAGATGGTAAACTTGTACTGACCAGTGCGAGAAATTACAGACTGTGCAACTTCTCTATCGTGCCTAACAATGCATGTAACATTGTTTACAAGAGACAAGTTGCACCAAGAAAGCTAGTAAAACAATACATCTGTGTTTAAGGCCAAGTATGTACGTCCCTTTGCCTTAAAAGATTCTATTGTTTCTTTCCAGTCAACAGTCCACCAGATGACGTGTGGTATAATGTTCCAAGTCTTCATGGACTTCTTGTTTAGTCCCTTCCTTTTCCAGGATGCAGTAAACAATGGTAACTATCTAAAGTACTGACAACCTTCAAACTATAACTTTGTCAAACAAATATGCTACCCGACAAAAAATGTTACCCTACCAATTATCATTTCAAATAAAACTACCAGTATCACACTTTAAAATGATCAAACTTCTAATGACTCACGATGAATTGAGAAAACGAAGTGCTAATGAATTCCAATTTTCAAATACCTAATCACCATGGCATTCGCCCATGAGAAGAGAACATGTATGAGAGGAGAATACAAAGCTGTTACAAGAATTTTACCATCTTCTGTAAATTTCCTTCTCTTTTTTACTTTCCAGAAAGAGAAAGGTCTAGAGTCTAAAATACCTCTGCCATATCTTACTACATTCCACTCATCATTTACTTATACAAAGGAAAAAGAAAAACATATGGTACTATTTTATTTAGTTCAAGAAGAAAATTACATCCTGTGTTACTCCACATGGTACATCCACCCGTAGTTATAAATCCTACTCTTTTGCATTCTAAAGTACCACCTCTTCTTCGTATTTTCTCCTTATTCAAGAGCTATTCCAGCCACTATAAGTAGAGAAACTTTCTAAGTATCAACACACGCTCCAAAAGTTCCAAGAAATTTCAATATGCAAGGCTCTCATATGACATAATTTATTCTTTCTACCCCCTCCTTAGTTAGCACCCTTCCCCAGCTAACATCTTTAAAACGAAAGACTTAGACAGTTATCTATGTCTGTGTATAAAAATCTTCTAATCCTTCTACTCTCCTCTTTCCATTACTTCGTGTAAATCACAGCAAACAAAAGTATGGACTAATGCTAATTCCTCCAACAATATAAGAGTTCTTCCATTAGATATGCTACTTCTTATCACAAGAAGTACTGTCCATCCAGGTCTGCAGGATGCAGTCTAGATGCTTTTATCAAGTGAAATCCTAATAAGCATAAATAGCTATGTGTTCTATTCTATCACAAAGCACTAAATGCAGATCTAGAGGCAAACCCCTCGACAAAAAATTCACGGTATATATAAGGTATTTTAACAAAATTGTTATGTGTATATATAAATTTTGAAGTTGACTTAGTAATTGAAAGTGTTCAAAATTCACCAGCACTACATTTTTAATTTTCGAACCTCTGATTGAAAATCCTAGATATATAACAACATAGCTTTGGGTTTAGCACCAACTCTGTTCAACAAGTCACTAAAGGACCAAAGTGAATAACACTGACAATACATAAATAGCTGAATATTTCAATTGACACAAAGTAACTCATATAATAAGAACTCAGAATCCCAAAAAAAAAAAACAACTATCAGTAAGAAGATTTCATTACAGTTATCCTTTAATTTGTGAAACTCAAATAAGTATCAAAAAAATTGCTTTAACCCTAATGTCAAAAGCGGCGATGCAAACAAAAAAATAATAATCAAGGATGTAAGCGAGTGAGCTGCGAAAATTAATTGACAAACACCATGGAAGAGCAGATGCAGATTCATTGGAAGTTGTAATCGGCAAAATAAACTGAAAATTCAGATTTTTTACGTACCTTTTAGTTCGTTTTTTCTTCTCGGTGAAGAAAGGGTTTATGAGAGGTTTATGTGGACAAATTCCTAGCTACTGTTTTTCCATCAATGGCTGCTTTTATTGCCCTCAATTTTCTATGAAATATCAAAACAACCCATAAGTTTTCAAATAGACACCCCCACCCCTTCTCTTTGTGTTATCACGCAATTTATCGTGGCTTTCAAATGTGATTTGAAAATTGCGATTCGTGCTTGTAAATCACTTTTCTCGAATGTGATTTGTGAGTTATGCTAATGTGATTTATAAGTTCTATTTCAAGGTTCGTGTCAAAATAAAAAAAAATGTTAATATTAACACTTTGTTATGAAAATTTGTCTTGCCTTGGTTATATAGTTGTTTGGACTTCAATGGAACCAAAGTATATATAACACATACATTTGTTAAAATCGGATTCACACCAAACACCGGGTGGAAATAAAAAATAAAAAAAAAAGTTTACAACACTACTATTCTTCCTGCACTTGATCATCATGGGTAGAGGTAACACTAAATTCTGCTGTAATTATGCATATGTTTCCGTCTATAAATTCTAATGATAGTGAAAACGAGGGTTCCAGTAGACGAACTCGCAAAAAGGCAATATGACATCTACATAAAAAAGAAATGACCAACCTATTATTTAAATTGGTGATATCTACAATGTTAATTGAATTGATATTCACAACCTCAAAAGCAAAACTAATTTCTTTCTTCTCACATTGGACAAGTAAGTACCTATCAAAATTGTCCTAACCTTTTTGTTCACTAGTGAGGAACAAATAGGTTGTATAAATAGATCCTTTTCTTTTTGCTTCCAAAAATGGAAGGCAAGAAAATCAAAATGTTGTGCTGCTTCCCTTACTCCCAGACCCAATTTTCCGATGTCGCCTTGAGTTAGACTTCCTTTCACCTTTTCCGCGCTTTGGAGGTCTCCTTACTGGAGGTTTACTAGAAGAACTATCACGAACAAAAGCCGGTGGAGGATGTGCATGACTTCTCACAACTGTCATGTGAGCCCTTTGCTCCAGTAAATCTCTGTGGTATGCCTGCATAGATTTGAGAAAGCATTGTATGTACAGAACAGCAAAAATTAAGGCAAATAACTAAGCTAAACCATAAAAAAATTGTATCCAAGTTTTCCCAACTGAAGAATCGAAATACTTTAAGTCTTTAATATTTAGGTTTAGGGTGGAAGAGTAAAGGAGATTTTCCTTTGTGGATACCTGTATCACGAAATTCCGCCTCTCACAATCCAAAAACATGTTGACGTTCCAGCTAACTTTTGCCATCAATTTGTCCCTGACAGTGGAAAAGCTCAGTTGGTCCCTAGAGGTAAAACGGTCAACTTCATTGAACCACAGACAGGTGAACAGATTTGTGATGGGAATATGCTCCTTTATAATAACACATCCTTCGGGAACATCTGCAAAATGTTGAATGAGCTAAGTAAATTTTGAGAGCGAGTGGTCAAATGAAGACAAGGTGTAAATGTGGACTCACCACTAGTAATAGGAAGCTTAGCCTCTGAATATGCAGTTAAACCTTCTTTCTTGTAGAAATCAATTTGGTGGTCGATGGATACATTATCATACTTCCCTGCAGCTTTATTAGCTTCTGCTTCTTCAAAGACGTCAAAACGTCTATAATGTCTTGAAATAGCAAAAGTAGCATTCTGGCGCCACAAGAATCTGAGATAAAGGAATAGGAAAGAAGAAACTCATAAAGTTATAGTAGAGGTGAGATATCGCAACTAGAAGGTGTAAGCCAACAAAAAGAATGAATCATTAATTCGGCTGCCGTACACGCCACTAAAACAAATAGAATATGGCCATGTCGAAAAGAAATGACACAGCAACAGGGAACAAAGATGAAAATAAACTACCAAACTGTTGCGCTTGTCAAGGTAATCCTCAATAACTCATTGGTCATTGTCTGAGGGGTGGCATCATAGGAAAACCCTAGGGCTGCACTATCCTGCCTAATAAATTGGTACAAATAGTATGTACAAAACACATTCAAGGTGCAACCCACAAATAAAAGATGGGTGCCATTATGGCATTGCCCATTCATTGCTCAATACTTCCACTACTACAATCATTTGATCAATACCTAAAATGAGAAGATACAGGTATGTATATTATTTTTTCATAATTAAAAGTATGTATCTTATCCTTTTTCTCCTTTGGAAAATCAACCTCATCAATGATAAAAACACTTTTTGAGTTTGCATATAAAATCCAGGAAATAAAAAAAAAATCAGCAACAACAATCAGGTTTTAGATGATGCAGACCTTCATCAGCTCCAACCCCCAGTCATAACCCCGGAAATATCAGCTTCACCCCAAAGCTAACAGCTTAGCACAAGTACTATCATATGAATAGCAAAAAATGATGTGCATAAAAGATGAAAACTATTATTGGGAAGCTTAAACGAAAATGAATTAGATCTATTACCAAATAAAAAACATGTACAGTAGCTAGCCATTATTAAAAATTGTTTTCCCTTATCACCAATAATAAGCCATTGCTAGAACTTAATAGTAGAATCTCTCCAAGCACAAGGTATTCCAACCGGCATACAAGGACACAAGAGTCAGTAAAACCAAATGTACCTCTCGAGAATCTGGTAAGGATCCACAATGAGCTGAAGCTTTCCATCTATCCAAATAGAATAGCGGACATTAGGAAAGAGCCTATGCAGTAGGAGCTTAGGTACCTGCCACAGATACATCTCTTTCAACCAAATCCATATTCATATGTTCTACTTCTAATCCACACTTCACATATGAAAGAGTTACTGAAAGTATACGCCATGAAAGAAAAATATAATGAAGTCAATTCAAATTGATGACAGATGAATGATAACAGAACCTCTACACCCAAAAAGAAAAGGAAAGGTAAAGACATTGCACATATTCTATTACCTCTTGGCGAGTAGGTTTGTTCTCATCACCATATGTGAAGAAAAATTTAGACAGTTACATTGTCATAGGGCTAAGGTTTAGTGGTAAGAGTGCAGTGAGTGATGTGTGGTTTAGGCACATGTAACGGGTTTAAATCCTTCTGTAGACAAAAAGCTTGGTATTTAAGTGGAGAAGGGTAGAGGGATGGTCCCATTACCCACCAAGTTTCGAACCATGTGCCTCTAGCCCTCAGGGATTTCTCAATTATCTAAAAAAAGAAGTTAAAATTATTTTGGCAGCATGGCCTCAACCAAAAGATAGTCCCTCAATCTGCTGACAATCATTTCCAGTCAGAGGTGTAAAAGACTAACATAACAGTGATTGCGGAGCTATACTACAAAGTCCCACAATAGATACTTAATGTTAGTAAAAGGCAAAAGCGATATATGATACCCAAGTTCATTGCTTTTCTTTCTTTTTTTTTTTTTTTTGGTTTCCTACATACAGCATGCTTAGAATTTAGTGTCTTTTCATACCCAGATGCCACATCAAGCACTCACGTAACCTCAACTGGTCAACCCCTTAGAAGAAAGAAGATTAGAGAAACAACAACAAACCCAGTGTAATCCCATAAGTGGGGTCTGGGGAGGGCAGGATGTATGCAGGCCTTACCCTACCTTTGTGAGGTACAGAGGTTGTTTCCGAAAGACTCTTGGCTTATTCGAAACATGGTAGAAAGCAGATTAGAGATCAGGTTTAAAATTTGACAGAAACCTTGATTGAGATAAGGGGATTTAAAAGAAAACTAGGAGAACAAACCTTCCCATTGCGTCTCGCATCAGAATAAGGCACATTGCGAACAAGAATAATCCTCCATAAACCAACCCTATTTCTGCTGTCCAAGAGGCTAGAGTTCTTCAAGGATGCTTCTGTTTCTTCATCAACAAACATATAAAAGGGAACTTTTTCTCGTGTAGTTTTACCCCAGTTCTTTGGCTGTTGAATCACGTCATAATTTCCTGTAGAGCATTTATGTAGATATAGGTAAGGGATATCTGCAATTCTTTATGCTTATGAGGTTCACAGTGCTGTAGATAGATGATTGTGGTTTTGATACTAGCCACTTCTAGCTTGGCTACATTTTCTAATCCTCTTTCACCTTATACTCCTAGATTATTAATTAAAATTAAAAAGATGAAAATATGGAGCATAGCTATAGAGTACCAAATATGGCTGATGCCACAATGACATCATGGAATTGCTCCATCTCCTTTAGATCCGCCGCATCAATGTCAAACCCAGTTCTATCACCAGGTCTACAACCTTGGACAAATCTGACCCAAATATATTAGGGATGAGACAAAGAGCAAATACTCTGGAAGGAGGACAAAACACTAAAGCCAACAACAATAAGACAGGTGACTATGTCAAAATGACAAGTGCAACTTACCCACAATGCACAGTCATTGACTCTTTTATGTCAAACGAAGCATTCCTCTCCACCAAAGAAGGGTACCCACCAAATGCAGAACCCCTGTGAGGTTCAGTCTTCATGGGAATTTGCTCGTGGAAATAAGTTAAATGCTGAAGCCCGGGTGACACTGACGGGACTCTAGGCATACGAGCTATTGCTTGCTCCACAGGAACATAGCATACAGGACATGCTGAATGAAAATGAAAGAGAGCACAACCCAGATTACAACATTATGTGAAGTGCTGATCAAAGCAAAGGATATAATACAAATTTGTGAAGCTAAGAAATAAGATAAGGTTGGAAACAAGTGAATTTTACACTTACGTCGAGGCCCAATTCGCCTCCTATCACCAGGTGGAGGAGGAGGAAATGCAAAATTTCGACAAGGATCGGGAAAAGCAGAGGAATCTTTAGTCTGTATCATAGCCAAAGCATGGGGAGGAGGAAGCTGGGCATTATGCTCATCGCATACCATAACCTTCCTGGGCAATAATGCAGATAGATGGTATGTGCTGTTTTCAAACCACTCCTTGAAGTCCAATTCAGAACTCCTTGATGCATCCTCTGATAATCGCAAAAATCTTGTAAGAAAATCAGGAAATCCATCTCATAACAAATTACAAAAGTAACTTCAATACTAAATAAAATGCAGTATACAA